TGCCACTACGATTTGTGGCACCGCGCAACCCAATGCCCCGAAAGCTTCCCGGGCGTGCGGGTTATGATCAAGCTCATATGCACCCGCACCTGCGCGCCGGTGGCCCCCACGTCGCCGGCTCCGCTACCGCCTCTGCCCTGGAGCTCCTTCTTTTCGTCTTTCCCATCCGAGCTGCAAGCCGCGTGGGAGGACAGCTGGGCGTGGCTGCACGGGGTCCAGCCGCCCCCCGCGCCCGCCGCGATGCCGGTAGGCCCGCCCCCGAGCAGCGTTCGGCTTCCGGCCCAGCCGAGGGTACGCCGACCGAGCAAAGAAGCGGGTCGGCGCCGAGTCCTTCCCAGCCCACCTGGTGAGTGTGCCCTTTGCCAGCCCAGCGCGCATGGGGCAGATCTGCGAGCGGCTGCAGCTTGCGGGCATCTACGTGGACTCCAAGTTTGCGGCCAAGGGGCGCAGCAAGGCCACCGGCGCCGTGACGGTCATCAACGCGCTGATGAGCGCCGCGGTCCTGCAGCGGCGGGCACAGCAGAAGGCGGGGGCTCTGGTTCTCGAGCTGCCGCCGCCACCCGACGAAGAGCTGCAGCCCTGGCAGCGCGAGGCGCAGCGCGCCCGGCCGCTCGAGGCCGCTCGCTCGGTGACGCCCGTCCAAGACCTCGAGCAGCTCGTCCGCACCCTCGTCGGCGCGGGCGCTGCCATCGCGCCCGGCGCGGGTGCCCTCGACGATGTGCGCTGGATCTTCCACGCCGCCCGCCACGCCGACCCGCGCGCGCTGCTGCCGATGCTCGAGCTGCGCGGGCCCTCCTGCCGCCTCGCGGCGCGCGCGCTGGCGCACGTGGGGCCGCGCGCCATCCCGGCGCTGCTGGACTTCCTGGGAGGCGCCCGGACGGCGGACCGGCTGGGTGCGGCGGCCGTGCTCGCCTTGGGGCAATGCTGCGCGTCGTGCGACGCAGCGCTCCCGGAGCACCGTGCGTTGCTGGAAACCGCGGAGGCGGCGATCTTCGAGGCCGCCCGCCGCGGCGCGCCGGCGATGGTGCGTATCCACGCCCTGGTGGCCGCGCAGGCCCTGCCACCCCAACGGGGGCTGGCGCTCGCAGAGGGGGTCTTCGCAGACGGCGAGAGCGACGCGGACCTTGGCGCCGTCGGCGCCGCCGCCGGCCTCCTCGCGATCTGGTGCTCGGGCCGCGAGCCGATGTCGCCGCGGCTTCGCCAGCTGATGCGAGCCCTGTGCGACCGAGTGCGCGAAGGGGACTATGCGCTGCGGTACGCTGCGGCCTACGCGGCGCTCGCGCTGCACAGGGAGCACAGCTCCGATCCGCTCGCCTGCTGGAGCCCGTGCGGCTTCGGGTTTGGCGTCACGCCGGTGGAGCCCGTGGCATCGGGCGTCCGCGACTGGGAGCGCTGGAAGGCCTCGCCATTCGGGCAGCAAGAGCTGCGCCGAGTCCGGCCTCCGCCGGGCTGGTTCCGGCCCGATGGACGACGCGGCCCGATCTAAGATCTAGGCGGCGGTGCGTGCTTGTCATTGTATCATGTAGAAAGCGGTAGTCAATTTTTGACTAGATGTGACTGGCTCAAAGTGGAGGCGGGGGCGATTCCGGATCCGAAAATGAATCCTGGAAAACACACACCCACACCTCAACCGGCTCCAAAAAGTCCTATCGCCGCATAGATGGGCCCAGGTAGGAGGCTCCACGCCACCTGAATCGCGTCGTGCCACCTGAAAGCCACAAAATGCCGGATTTTGCACGAGACACACGCGGAAAGCGCCACGTGCCTCCACGAGTCCTTTGCAGCTTTTTGCACAAAATGCAGGTGGCTTTAGCCACTTGCTCCATGAGCAAAACAGTCCAAAAAGCACCTGGAGCAGATGGCTTACGCCGCCTGTGGACATGGACAAAACAGTGCAAAAAGCACCTGGAGCAGATGGCTTACGCCGCCTGTGGACATGGGCAAAACAGTGCAAAAAGCACCTGGAGCAGATGGCTTACGCCGCCTGTGGCCATGGGCAAACAGTGCAAAAAGCACCTGGAGTAGATTCCAAACGCCGCCTGTGGCCATGTGACCGCTCGGGTGGCGCCAGGTGGCTTCGCCCCCCTCCAAGCCACCTGCCCCCCTCGCCACACCTGCCTGGAGGGCTGGAGCACGTGCGCCACCTGGGCCCGGGCAGGTGGCTCCAGGTGGCTTCGGCCCCTCTAAGCCACCTGCATGCCCCCCCTCGCCACACCTGGAGGGCTGGAGCACGTGCGCCACCTGGGCGTCACTTCGGGAATTTCATCGTGCGTGTTCTTTTGAATAGGAATGTACTATACACCGCCTCGGCACCACGAGCCGCCCCCGCCGCGCCTCCACAATCCACTCTCGCAACTCTACCGCGCAGCCAAGTGCGCAGCCAGCACACGACAAAGCTCTGCATGGCCTGGTTTATCGGGGATCGAGTGATGGCGTATTATCGGGCAGTCTTCTCATTGGCGAGTCAGACTGCTCAGCGTCGGCAGCAACGGCGCGTGAGCAGCGCAGCCACCGGCTCCTGCGGCGTTTGCAGCCACACCAAACGCCCGCGCGGGCCGGGTTGAAGCCCCAGGCTTATGTCGACGCCGGACATTGATTGTAGCCGCCGATGACCGCCGCAGGCCCTCTTTCACACACCCCACAGTCCCAGTTTGCAGCGCGGGGAGGAGCGGGGAGGCTCGCGTTTGGCAGGCCAGCCCTTCCGTGGCTCGGATTTTCCGTTTCCGAATTCAAACTTGCGCCAGGTGGCGCACGTGCTCCGGCCCTCCAGGTGTGGCGAGGGGGGGCATGCAGGTGGCTTGGAGGGGCCGAAGCCACCTGGCGCCACCTGCCCACCCATCAGGCCCAGGTGGCGCACGTGCTCCAGCCCTCCACGTGTGGCGAGGGGGGCGGGGCAGGTGGCTTGGAAGGGCCGAAGCCACCTGGAGCCACCTG